TTGTTTCAATATTGTATAAAAAATTATCACATTTGAGAAATAATGACTGAAATATAAAAGTATGTTTCAATATAATTTCGTTTAATATACAGATTCATTTTATAGCAAATTCCAATGTCTTAAGGCATCGGCTCGCAAAATGTGTCTCATGGTACCTGGCGCCTTCCTAGGAGATATGGGAAGATCTCGTATATAATATTAAGACATTTTTTTCTTTTATTCACTTTGAAAGGATTCATGGAAAACCACTGAAAGGTGCGCCTTCCTAAACGAGGGCTTTTGGCGACGTACCACGTAATTCTGAACCATGGTCAAGTGACGTGGACGACACTGAGCTGGCACCCCCTCTCCTAACTACCACACCACACCAACTTAGGACACTTAAAAAAGGAGTAACAAAGTAATTCATCAAAATTGAAAAATTGAGAATTGCTTCATTTACTATTTGTACAGAGCGGGTCTCATTTTTGTAAATTTTGTCAATTTTAACTCATTTTTTCTCATTTTAGTAGTAATTATTTATTATTTTTCTCCTCATAATTAAACCTTTTTTCTTAAAATACACTAAATAAATCTAAAAACCACAAAAAAACTCCATATTACCAATTTTTTTAAAAAAAATATTGTCGCAAATAGTCGGATACCTTAAAACTTCTATGTAGTCTGACCCTATGATTCATTATCTAGATTGTGCATACTTACATATTAGAAATTGGGGAAAATATTTGAAAGTTGTAAGTAAATTCAAAGTGCAAAATGAGAGAAGCCCACAAAAATGTTTATACTAAAACTGTAATCCCATCTGTATGTGCGAAGTGAAAAGTATACAAAAAAGAGAAATAGGAAAATTGAACGTAATAGTGTTTTTTCGAATTTATGTAATTTAAATTATTCAAAATAGAAAAAAAATTAATCTCATTAGGATCTACTCATTTTAATTACTGATCTTTAATATACATAGTAAAAAGATTTCCAATTAAATATTTGAAATATTCTTGTGTACGGCACACGTAGTAATTTAAATTAGTAAAATTACAGAAAATTATAGAACATTAGAGCATTTGTAAATTAAATGACATTCATAAAAGCAGAACCACTTATAATTGTAAATTTGTTTGAATAAATTTGCAGAGTATTTTCTGTTAACTTTCGATAATTTTAATTATTTCATTTTCTTCTTTAAATATGCATTACATATGTGATGATCGATAATAAATGGCGCAAATTGAAACCACACACAAGCATTTTAATAGATTCACTTAATGTTTTTAAAAAAGTGTCAGACAACAACTGTGTGATACCTGAATTGTTACTATTTTGTTTAAAATTACTGAACATGGTTCCTCAGTTCAATGTCGACACGTTGACATTGAATTTGTAACGAATTAAGCATGAAAAGTCAGTGCAAGGCATGTGATGTACAGTAGCATAACTACATTTAACTACAACTTGTCAATGCCTCCCAAAATTATGCCGCCAACAATTCTCGTCTCCTGAGGGCTTAAAAAGAGGAAAGATCAAATGTTAGAAATGTTTCGTCCCGTCAATAGGAAAATGCTTTATTGTAACTGTAAGACAACCATGATAGAAAATTGGTTGATGGCTCAGGTTCATTCAATCTAATCTTTACACCCGGCATTCATTTCACCGAAATTTTTAGACAATTGCATTTCAAAAGCATGGATTCCAGATAAATTACTTTTATACCAAAAATAGACATTCTCTTGGATTTAAAATTGGTGTCTATCCCTTGCAGGAATTACTAAGTTGTAGAATTTTTTTAAAATTAGGTTTTCCTTTATATGATAATTAAAATTGCCTATACAGTTCATTGAACGAAATTATTTTTGCCTTGAATACTTTTGGTCGTTCGCGCACATCTCTAATTTTAAAATGTAGGCAAAAAGTAAAGGTATTTATCATTAGCATGAAAATTCATAAATTTTTGCTTTAAAAAATTTCATAGAATCGATTTGAATTCTCAATATTCCACAATTTAGATACCAATAAGTAATTTCTCACTATGCATAAAATCTTATAAATATTATTATTTGCGTTTTGAGATTTTATGGAAACATCGATATCAAACTTGCAAAGAAAAAAAAATTCACAGATTTTCTCTTTTGAAAAGAATTATATATAACGTTTTCTACATGTCTTCTCATGCTGATAGAAAAAAATCACTCTCCAATGAAATATGAAATAGAAGTTTATTATTATTATTATTTAAATTGCACTGCTTTGCTACATCTCATCTAAGAAGAATGGTACAAAAATGGTATATAAAAAAATATTCATAGTCATTTCTTTTCTACTTAAAACTATGTTCCTTCCTCAAATGCTTGTTCTCCTTTTTCAATAACAGGCATTATATTTCACACTCTCCTTATATATATATATATATACAAAAAAAAGAAAATAATTAATAAAATACATTTTTTATTCGTTCACTGAAGTTCAAATACATTTTTTTCAACTTGTAATGGAAAACATTTGATGTTAATACAGTTTTCTCAAATATTATTTAAGCATTAATTAAAATTTTATTTTTTAATTACTATGCGCTATTTCTCACGAAGTTAGAACGAGCTGCAACAGGTGGCACCAGTAGGTTTTTCTAACGAATTTTTCGTGGCTTTAAATGCTTATTTTATTTTTATTCATCCACCCAAGTTCAAACATATTTTTTCAAACTTGTAGTGGTTGACACTTGATGTTAAAATAGTGCGAATGGCTAAGTGACGCCTGTCGTTAGCCGTAGCTTAGAGCACCATACAGGTGACAGTACGCTTTGGCTCGTTTCCACCCCAATTTTGAGGGAGGACACCTGGGGGTGGTCAGGGTCCTCCCACCCCTCTACCCTTTCAACCAACCATACGACAGGACTTGTGGCTAGCCTGCTATTTAGAGTACCCCCATGCCGCAAAGGCACTATACATTTACAAACATCCATGTCTTCTCCGGGATTCGAACCCAGTCCCTATGGCACCACAGTCAGAATCGCGAACCACCATACCGATTGGGTGGTGAAAAGTAACTTAAAAGTAGCAAATACAAAATTTAATGGTTATATTGATAATTTATAAGATTTATTTATCAGGTCGTATTATATTGTAGCTTCAGCGAAAAAGTACATTAATTTGTCATTCAATAAATTTTACATTTTATGGGGGGGATTGCGAAAGGAAATTTATGATTAAAAATTGGGTCACCAATATTGAAATTTTGAAAAACACCGCAGTAAAGGGAAGAAGTCAAGAAGTGAAACAAGATTTTACTGTCTAGATTGCAGTAAATCAAATTTTGTTTAATAATTTCCTAATCCTTTACTTAAATGCAGAAAATGTAAATAAAATTTGTAATTCAAGATGCGAAATAGGTATTCTAAGATTTCTATTTACCTTTAGTGAGATGTGAATCCAGTGTTTCTCCCACACAGAAAACCAATTTTAAAGGTAAATTGATAATTTACTTAAACAGATTTTTACATTACTTTTTAGGAAATTCTCGATGTGAATGGGGCTTTTATGTTTAAAATCGCATGTATGTTTGAAAATAAGCATAAAAAATAACATTTTTTTTTTCATAATCCAGAAATAAGATGAACCTGGAAGGGGTTAATTACAACAACGAAACCCAAAAACTTGCAACGCTGAACAAACAGCTATTACGTCCAACATATAAAATTTCAGTTTCTTTTTTATCTTACAAGGAAACTCCCCTCATGTTTAATACAGAGAAAATTTTCTATGCTATCAACTAATCTCATAAAGAAAGACCAATTACGTTAAACTAATTTATGTGCAGAAATCTATAAAATATATCAAAAATTAAGCAACTCAGTTGTTTTGATGGGCAATGTTACAATTTCAAGTGTGATTGCTTTTATAGGAAGTTGCTTGCACTTAATCTGATATTTGTTATTTCTATGAAAGTTTGAAAATATTTCATCATTTTTTCTGATTTATTTCTTAATAATTGTAAGTTATACGTATATTTAATATTTCTGTGTTAAGGATTCCGATTTAATTTTTATTTGATATTAAACATCCTTCATTTAGCTTCATTATATTTAGTATTTTCCTTTTAAAATGTTATGACTCTATTATATTCTTAGTATTAATAAAATATTATTCTTTGTATAATTTCTTTTCCTAGCATACCCAGAAGTATAGACAAATTACATGAAAACGTTGGTTGGTTTTAAAATCAGCAATCTCATTTCATAAAATTAAGAGTTTTCTATAGTTATGTTGAGGGTATCATACTTTTGACGATACAGCCTTGTTATATTTCTATTTTTATTACCTTATCACAGATTGATGATAATTTTGTAAACGGTTATTAATTACATGTATATACTTAAGTATATTTTTAAAGAAATTGGTATCTTAAGTTAAGCATTATTTGTTTATGGTTAGATTGTAAAATATTTAAGAGTAAAATGAAATTTGAACATTATAAAAAAAAAAGTGTGTGTGTACTTATGTACGCCGTAAGAAGTTATACTTCTTTGGCGTAACAAGATTAAAATCTTTCTAAAAATCTTGAGCAGAGCAAGCTGGGCCAAGGACGAAAGGCGGTCACGAATAGAGTTCAACGATACTAACCTTCATTCAATCGGACCAGCCAAACCTGAGATAATCACGATTTAAATAAATTTAAGCGCCCTCGCACAGGGACAATAGGACCAATCATATGGGGAGGGGAATGAAGGCGGGAATGATCTGTCCCGTTCTGCATATTTCTAGACAAAGCATTTTCGTATCAGTTCCTACGGAACGCAAAACAAACGTTAGCTGACCTCGGGGTATAGCTCTGTGGTAGAGCATTCGACTGCAGATCTAGTAGTCCCCGGGAGTCTTCTTTTTTTCAGGGAAGTGAAGAGAAAATTCTTTTTTGAGAATTTCGAAGGCCGCAATGATCTGCACCATTCTATATATTTCTAGACAGATTTTCGTATCCGTTCCTACGGAACACAAAGCAAGGTTCGTTGACGCGGATGTATAGCTCAGTGGTAGAGCATTCGGCTGCAGATTGAGAGATCTCCGGTTCGAACCCGAGTATCCCCTTCCCAAGTAAAGAAAAATATTTTTCTGAGAATTTCGAAGGCGGAAATGATTTGTCCCATTCTGTATACTTCTAGACAAAGGATTTTCGCATCCGTGACGGTGTGTGCGCGCATTGTACAAATTTACCCTCATCCTATTTCTCTAACGCCCCAAAAGAAGTATAAATTCAAAAGATAAGTCTATTTCATAATCAATAGTTTTAAATTCAAATTTAAGTAATTCCGATTATTTTATTCATTGGAGATATATATATAATCGAAACATTCCAATTAAAAAAGTCCTTTTTTTTGTAAAAGAGCATGCCCATTTTCTTTTCATGGTACACGTTTCAAACATTTCCAAAGCAGAGAAAGTCAGGACTTCCATTTACATGCATCGATAACCACTTTAAATTTTAAAAGTTAACTCTTTGGGGTTTTGTCCTCCATTAATTTCTTGACAGATTTTACTTCACGAGAATTATTAAAACGGAACATGAAGTGAATGTATATTCAATAACATGTGCTCTTCTTTTTTTAAAGTAGTGGGTGTTACTCTTTTACCGGTAGCATCATCCGATATAAGTTCGAGATGATATTATTTAATTTGTAACATTCTTAATCTATCAGCTGACGCTCTGTTGTTGTTGGTCTACTCAAGAGAATTATGATTCTACTAAAGATTCGTCATGTTATATATATATATGTGTGTGTGTGTGTGTGTGTGTGTGTGTGTGTGTGTGTGTGTGTGTGTGTGTGTGTGTGTGTGTGTGTGTGTGTGTGTGTGTGTGTGTGTGTGTGTGTGTGTGTGTGTGTGTGTGTGTGTGTGTGTTTGAATGTGTATAGCAGAGTGAATGTAATATTTTTCTGTGGATTTTAAAGTCATCTCAATGGCTTGAAATAAAATGAGGAACTAATATTTAATCACTTAGGATATATTTAAGATATTATACAAGAACTTGGTTCCCATTTTAGAGTTTCTGCAGTAAAAAAACTGCAAAATAGCAATTCTGGTACAATTTTGGGGTTTAAAGTGAAAAAGTACCCGCGGGGTTTTACAAAAGTAACTATAAACACTTATTACAAAGAAAAGGAAAAAATTAAAGTCTTGAAAGATTATAAATATTTTTAATAAATATTTGTAAAAGAAAATTTAAGTAATTCTGATTATTTTATGAATTAGAAATATAGTATAATTAGAGAAAAAAAATCTAAACATTCCAATTAAGAGTAATTTTTTTAAGAAAGAATTAACAATTTCCTTTCACGGTACACATTGCAAACACTTCCAAAGCACAGAATGCTGGGCTCCCATTTGTTTAAAAGGACAACCACTTACAATTTTAAAATTGAACAAATAAATTCATTGAGAATTTTGATCGAATTGATGTTTACACGACTCCCGGATTCCATCGCCCAACCAATCGCCGTCATGCCACTAAGCAGAAAGGCCCCTTCGTCAAACTCCCCCTCATAGACTTATCCTTTATTGGGGTTGAGGGGCTGTCTTACAGTCCAGATGCCCAAAACACAACGCCCATTCAAATTGATGCTTATGAATTTTTGCGTTTTCTTGACAGGTTTCGCTTGAAGAGACCAGTTAAATATTAAAAGAGAATTTTAAGTGTATGTTTCCTCGTTAACACGTACTTTTCCTTTTGTAAAAGTGGTAAGAACTTTCATGGTTAGTGACGTCTATAATAGTTTCGATATGGTCGTAGCTGATTTCTTTATGCTCATTTTCTCGTTGATGGAATTGTTGCAGTCGATACTTTCAAAGGAACTCTGATTCTACTAAAGATTTGTTGTATATCAGGTCGCTAATGTAAATCTGTATCTGCAGAGCTTTAAAGTCTTTTTTTCTGTTTTAAACACAGAATGAAGAAGGCATAGTAAATCGCTTAGAAGATATTTAAGATATTACACAAGAACTTGGCTCACAATTTCAAAGTCCAAAGTAAGCAAATCAAATGTAATTTCTAATTGCGATTAAGCAAATTTAATGCCGTTAGATAATTTGGCTTGGAAATAACCCGCAAAATTCCGTGATTTGTTTTTAAAAATGAATTCTTTAAAATTCAGTGAGTGTTTTATTTCTAGGATTAAATTTAAATCAACTTGTTTAGGGACTGACAGTGTGAAATTAGTTTTTTTTTGGATTTAATAAACAAAAATATTCTATTATTTCTTTTCGTAGAAATTCCAAGCGTGTACCAAAACAAATATGTAATTTTTACTTTCAGTACGAAAATAATATTTGCTATTATAGATCATAATCTAAAAAGAGAATTTTTTAAAAGGTTTGACTTTAGTTTTTTTAATAAAAAAAGCAATGAATCGAAGTTCTTTGAATATTTTAATTAATGGGCAGATTTAGCTCGAGACTGTTTAATTTTTTTTTTTTTTTTTTTTTTATTTCAGGGGCACTAAAAGAAAAATTACCTGAAGATTTTTAAAACCCCATCTAGGTTTCAGTATCCCACAGAAGCATGGATTGTTACATCAATGTTAACAACACAGCTCACGCTAACTTTCCCAGTTATAACGATATGTATTTTGCTACATTGGGGCTTATTCTTAAATTCTAATGCAACTACCAAGCATTTTGCTAGTTCCAAAAATGTCCTCCATTTCTAACTACCTAATTTGATCAGGAGATTTATTCATTTTAATTATTCAAAATAAATTTTATTTTCATATTTTTGTTGTAATATTGTAGAAAACGTAGATCACTTTTCTACCTTTTTAATTAATTAATTTTCTTCATTTTTTATTAATCTTATTCTATAGATTAAAATTCCAAAGTAGCATTTTTACTTAAGTTGATCGAATTTATATAGTTTTGAAAATTATTTTAAATCTATTTGATACAAAAAAAGGGAGTGGCCCTTTCTATTTATATTAATACCTCTGCGAATTGTAAACTAGACCTCTTAAGCAGTCAAAAATAGAATCAATGAATCATTAAAGTACTTTCTGTAACTGGACAAATTGAACCCTTACACCAAAAAGTAGATAATGATGGCATTATTCCTTAATAGAATCATTTACATGCTTGTCGAAAATTCGTTTGGTTTATTTTTTCAATTACTTGATAAAATAAGGTCAACATACAATTGTTTACAAATGTATGCTATTTTCACCTTCTACGCGATGAATAGGGCAGTTGAATGCTTACTGAGACCTTATTATAAGCATTATGTACACTTATGAATTTAAACTGTCAGTTATAAACTGTTAAACTGAAGTTATATTAACTTCTATTAAAAATTCAAATACGATTACAATGGCGTACTTCTGATAGTAGAATTAAAATTTCTGAAAATATTTTCGGGGTGTAACGAGAGGAATTATCAGAATGAGGAGTAGACGCTATCCGATAAGAAAAAAACAAACAGATCAGAAAAAAACTATCAACAACTATCAGAATAAAAAAATGCATGAACTCTGAAGTCAAATTTCTCTGAAGTTAAAAGATAAGTATACAAGTGTCATAAAGTAGTCATAATTCCTTTTTCTGTTTTATTTGTTTTAGTGTCAGTTTAGTCTCTAATTGATTTCAAGATTTTTGCAAATAAGGTTACTTCTCCATTGCATCTGAAACTGTGCTACAATAGTAAAATATGTATTATATCTAGTGATTAACATAGACCAAAAATAATATAAATTTTAGTTAAAATATAACTATTTGACTTATTCCACGCATAAATTATAAAATTAAGTTAGTAATGAATGTGGTAATTCATTGAAATATCTTTATTTATATCTGTAATCCATGGACAATGCATTTTTACTCGTGATTACAAAACAAATTTCAGGATATTTATCTATTTATTACTTTAAATTGTACGAGAAAGGAAGATTCAAGTTAACATCTACCAAAGGGGTCGTGAACCAATGGCATGTGACACAATATTTTGGGCAAGCCACCGATCAAAATGGTTTGCGTTTTAGTTCAAAATATCCAAGTTCTCTATGAAGTATTAAGAAAAATTGCGAGTAATTAGTCGTGAAGGACGGGGTGTCGGACAGCACAATCGTTTGTTATTGCCTTTTTTTAGTTACTTCTTGGACTACAATTGCTTAGGATGCAAACTTTACCTCCGCTAAGCATAGGCAATTTCGGTGAATACTTTTCAGAGATGAATAACATTAAAGACTCGCTTAGAATCAGTTTAGCAGATGACTCCAACTCGGCATACTTTCTGCTAAAATTAACACCTTACACAATCCTAATATAAGTCCACACATTTGTCCTCTAATCTGCAACAACAAAATCACATTAATGTTACTTTAAATTGAATTATACACAAAAATAAAACACATTTACTATTGACAGTGTAAAATTTATTTCTTCGTAGTAAATGAAAAGTTTTATGTTTTTAATATTCAATTTTATTTTTTCCCTATAGTCAAAAGTCGAAATTATTTGACGGCGAGTCTATACATCATTAAACATTTTTTTAGAAAAAATGGCACGTTGATCCATAAAGGTTTGCCCCTTCCCCTTATCTATGATATTCACAAATTTTGCTGTAGCTACAGACATAGAGAAAACGGGATAATATTAGCTATCCATAATATCCAACATTTTGAATAGATTTTTTTTATTTACAAACCTGATCATTTGGTATCGAATATTGAAGTGCATTAAAATAAAACCACAGTGCGCTTTTTCTTATGATGTAATTAAATGGTAAGTATATTCATTTATAGGATTAATAAGCAAACAAAATCCATTCTTTCCATTGAAATAACAAATTAATATTTTGAGAAAATTCAGCAGACATAGTAAATTTTTTAACAATACCTACAAATTAAACTCAGAGTAAATAAAAGTGTAAATATGCTAAGATTCTTTGCACATACTTTTTGTTTTTATTTAAAGATCTTTAATCAAGTCAATCTCATTGTTACACTATTAACAGCACAAGAACCTTGACTTATTATTATGTTAAGGCGCATTGATGCTTTGTGGTATTCTACAGTAATCCTCTTCTAATCCTTTTCTATCCTCTTT